CTTGAAAATAAATAAAAGGCTCTGCGAAAAAATAAGATTATTTCATTTTTATTAATCTCTTGAAAAGCTAAGAAAACTTGCAAATTTTTATCTAAAAACTCCATTTTTCATATTATTTATTGAATGTATTTTTGCTTGGATAAATGTTTTTATAATTTTTATTTTAATTAAAAACCATCAAAATATAATCTTGAAAAAATGTTTTTTTTGTTTTTCACTAAGTTCTTCATAAGTTTGATGTCGGCTAGGTATTACACATGTGTACTTTATTTTAATATATATTGAGTTATTAATTCTTAAATAATAGTAGCATTTTAAAGATTACATTACTACAATGTTTTCCATGATAACTTAATTTGTTGATAAAATTCATTTAGTTATAAAAATTGGCAAAATTATATTGCTACAAAGAAAATCGTCAGGTTCTTAAATCGTTTAAAAAATTCATCTTAGAATTTAAATAGTATGCAGCCAACTTAATATTATTATAAATTTTCATTCTACTTCAGTTATTTTTTGGATTAAAAAAATTAATATTTATACTTATTTAGCTTCGAAATTGTAACAAAAAGATAACATAGTATTTATAATTTTAATAAGTTTAAGATTTGTTGGATATTTGAAGTTAATATTTAATAGTGTTAGCTTTACTAATAAAAGTTAGCTTTACTCTATTATAAATAGTAATAAGGGTCATCAAGGCTAATGGACTAATTTCAGCCTTTCTTGAGAAAACAAATACAAAGTTCACATCTAAGATAACAACTATGCATATAAACTCTAGCAGAAGTAAAGCTACATTTTATTACATACATTCTGATACAAAATTTAACATTTATACAAGTATCTATAAATAATGAAAATTAGTAATTTTATAAGTTCATAGCAGACCTCCCTCAAAAAAAATCATTTGTTATTTTTAGTACAAATGATAATTTAAAAAAAATGTCAATACCACCTAATTATGTTTATACTATTATCGTAATAATTTGTGCAAATTTTGAAATAACTGTATTAAGTTTCATCTTTAATATAGACTTTTAAAGTTTAGTTTTTATTATTTTTATTTTTAAATTAATTAATATAATAAAATATCATTTAATCTGCAAGGCGAAAATCTCTGTGAGTGGTTTAATATGGTTTGTAGATAGTTGCTTTTGTTCATTTAACCAATAGTTTATTTTCTCTTTGCTCAATTACTCATTGATTAATTGGCGTAGATTTATAGTCCATTATTCTTCCTGGATAGACTTTTCATGACTATTTTTTAAATTAATTATCACTCTTTTACTTTTAACTAAATATTGTTTAGTGTCAACAGTGTAACTGAATGTACTCGCGTACCTAAATATTGTTGGTTTTGGTCAAAAAACAAATGAAAAATTTATTTATAAATATTTTATAAAAAGTTACCTATAATTAATTTTACAATATAAGAAATATTACACTTTTTTTACATGAATTTTTTTTAATATTAAGTCTTTATGCGACTGAGATATAATTAAAATACTGAATTATGATAACGAATGTTATTAATATTGTTATCATTTAGTTATTTTATAATATAACTATTAACTTGCGGCAGGTTCTATGTTTGTATACGCAATGCATTATACAGTATAAATAACCAGCGGCGTATAGCGTAAAGGTTTATAGAATGAAAGTTTTGTCGCAAAGCCAGCCACGGGGGTTATAAGAGAGGGCGTAAGAACTTTTAATAACACGTGGAAAACGACTGCGACATTAAGAAAAAGAGAGCAATTATTAAGGTTTTCTTTTTTCGTTTAGATTAGAAAATATAAGATTTCTTTGTGTAGTTGAGCTGGGTTGAGAGTGTCATGAAAGGAATTGAGTTTTACTGTGTTTTGTTTGAAAGCTACGTAAGACAATGTCTTTTGAAGCCTTTCAGTTTTAGCTTGGGTTGAAATTTTCAAAGGTGAATTTGATATGCCTTTTCGTATAAAACAGTCGTTTGAGTAAGTATCAAAATAATCAGTGATAAACAGTTTTATTCGTGCTTTTTCCTGGCAATAGTACACTGAACTTGTTATTGAATCATTAGTATCATTTAACACTATACCCTAAAAACCATTAATGTTGTAATTAATTAAATCATTAATTACTTAATCATAATTAAACTAATTACATTATTTTATAGAGAATTTGAAAATCTCAAATTGTTTTTCATTAAATAGATACGTTTTGAAACATTTATATAAAGAAAAACAATGTATAATTTTTTGAAAATAAAAACAGATGACGTTTTATTCTATATTTACTTAAATATAATTTTTAGTATCGCAACATCTATACCACAAGGTTTTACCTTTAAATTTCATAATTTTATAGAAGCTGTTTTTGAAGTGAACCCTTATATCTTTTTTACCTGCAGTTTTATATTATCAATTTTTTAGTGAAAAATTATACAGGGTGTTCAGTAAGTCAGGAAACGGGTTTCTATTGTTCTCATTGTTACAAACAATGAGAACAATAGAAACCCGTTTCCTGACTTACTGAACACTCTGTATAACATAATATGTATGTGCAATTTAATATAAATCATCAAATAGAAATGAATCTATTAAAATCAATTAAATATTTTGCAGAGTTCTCAATTCTATAAGTATGCTTACAAAACCATAAGGTTCAGTAGATATAATCTAGTGATTCCACGCATTAAAATATTACTGAGGTTAATTGATTTTTATAGAAAATTGTAAAAGGTTAAGTAATTGTATATTATATCCAAGATATACAATAACGTAGAAACTTTAGAATTTCCCGTCGTAACAAAATGACAATAAGTTCTTTGTTTTTTTAATAAAACGCTTATCATTTTAAACATAATATTATTAACAGATTATGTGTTTATTGATACTATTTAAGATAAAACATTCAATATACCATTAGATTCCTTAATTTTAATGGTATCCAAATATAATTGGTATAATACATGTAAAGATAACAATCCATAAACAATTACTTTTTAGGAGATCAAAAATTCGTAATATACCTTACATAAAAACGTATGCTTTAATTTTTTACAAAATCGACTTACATATAACCATTTTAATAAGGAAAACTGGAAATATCTATATAAATATTATAGTTTATCTTTATTGAATTAAAATAAAAAGAAACGCAAAAAAAAAGACTGATAAATATTGATTTTTAAAAATTACGATTTCAGTCATTGTTTAAAAGCTGTAATAACTGAATGCTTCCAAAAAACCTCCATTAATTATATTAATTAATTAGATTTCATGTTGTAACCACAGTGAAATATATGACTTGTTTGAATTCATCATTAAGTCTTTAGTTAAGTACCCATGGCAGTTATTTTTCATTAAAGTTGTATACTATGAAACGTTAAATTTCAAGGACAAGTTTTCAGTACTTCTCTGTCACTTTGTCAGTTTTTTTCATGGTAACCCTTATAAATATACAAACTTATTTAGTATGTACGTTAGAATTTCTACACAACAACCGTTAAAAAGAACCACAAAATTATTTTAGGGACAGCTGAGATTTGGTTGCGTAACCATTATGAAAGTACTTATACAATTTCATGAAAAAAAATTTCTTATAGCTTTTTGTAAAAACAACTGCTATTCATTTATTGAAGTAATTTTTTATCAATTAGGTAATTATAGTACTATAATATAACATTTTTTCTATAGAAAACGATTTTATCAATTATTTGATAATTATTAATGAATGTTTGATATCGATAACTATTATTAGGTTTATTTTCTCAGATAAATTATTTTACAGAATATGGACACACGGTAAATTTTCATTAAAATTAAATTGTCTATATCGACAAAGGGAGCTACTGGTTTACTGGTCAAGACTTCTATTTTCTGCTAAAGCAGTTGAATAACGTTGTCAGAAATCATTTTGAACATCACGATTACTGTTTGTAGGCAGATCATGTTTTAATGTTAATTTTCCACGATGCAATATTTGATGCATAGTACAAAATGTCCAAAGAGTACCTTGTTGTAGTTGTTATTATTATTATGGTTTGACAGGTTTTCCTTTGCTGATTCGCGATATGTAAACTGTGCACAATGCATCTCGACACAATAATGTAGTCCGATGAAATAGTGTTAATAATAGTATGTGCTTACTCATGAATGGAAATTTAAAATGTTAAAAGATAACATATGAATAGATGAACTTAAGATCATAGCTCAGGTACTATTACCGCTTAATCAAGAATGAAATGTGCACCGCCGAAAAGAGTGTTAAGTAAAAAACTAGGTAGTGAGAAGAGAAAAGTTTTTCTCATGATTTTATGTGTACTATATTGAAATTTGTGTTTGATTTGAAAAACATGTTTACATATTCTCTGATTTACTCTATTGATATTAAACACCTATAAATGCAAAATTTATTTATAATAAGTAAATATTTTAGATTTATTTTTATGTAATTATTAATGTATTATAACAAAGTTTTAAGTTATATTAAATATATTTTTAACAAATTGCAATATATGCAGCCATATAATCTAACTGATCTCCATTACGACGGTGGAATGTTGTTTTGAAAATAGCGGTTTATTTACCTATATGTTCAATATATTGTTGAACATAACAAGATAAAATCAATTAAGGTATTTATACCTTGGGTGTTTAATAGAATGTTACAATGCATTACAATTAGTTAATTTAATGACCCATTCAAATGGTACTAATCTAAAGTAATTGTTATTCTGCCGTGGTAGTTAAATTTGTCCTACATTGAAACTTACCGCCGCAATCAAGACAGTGTACGTAATAATAAAGTGTAAATATATAAAGCCATTATTAAATAAACTATGTACATAATTTTTATTTTTTGTTTAAAGCGAAAAACTATAGTTGTTAAATAATAATGAAAATAACTTAAATTCTAAGTACAAAAAAAAAAAAAGATAAAAATACATCCAACGAAAATTATTTATAAATGAGTTACGGTAAATTAATTCTATTTATATTTATATTTTATTTTAGAAAACTCAACTGGAAACAATAGTAACATTATCATTACTGACCTAGATCATGAAAAGATCAGTCCGTTTTGGTCGTTCAACGATTCAGCAGTAGACTTGACCAAATACGAACAATTTGACCATCAGCGTTTTATAGGTAAGCATATGTTTTATACAACAGTTTGCTGTATTACTATTATTTTGAGATATATCCCTTGAGTCTCCTAAGAGCACATCAAATTAAGACTTTACCAAATGTATATAAGTGAATTTCAATAGTTTAACCTCTGATAATTAGATTATTTAAATGTAAATTAGTATTTTCTTATCGCAAATTCAACAGTCCGTAGTCAAATGTTCTATTATAATTTTGAAAATGTCATATTAAAATACATATAAATGCCTTGTGGGCTATCAAACATACTGTTAAATTATCATTATTAAGATACTTATTCATAAGTGACATTTGTGTAATAAAACTAACTAGGTACATTAAATGTATAGTAAAAATGATGAACCAGAAAAATCTGAAAAACTTATACGGACTAATTAGTTAAATAATAAAAATTTCGTAGAAAAATTATTTTTAAATGATTGCTATAGTCTGCATTTTGTCTAAAAATATATACTAAAAAAATAAACTCGTATCGATCTCCTTTATTAAATTTTTTTTTTGAAATGTTTTCGTTTATATATTGATAAAATTGAACAAATAAACTAACACCTCATTTCAAATTTGTAGTCTTTTGACCACCAATGATAAAATAATAAAGGTCATCCTAAAAACTTCCCTTGTGAAACTGAAGCTATAGTAGTGACAAACGGAAGAAATAAACGGTTAATATAGTGGCGACTCTAATAAAAACAGTCGGAATAACTAAATAAATAGTTAAGTTATCCGAATATTCAGTTATAACAACTGTCTTAATTGCAGTTGTCACTATATTATTATTTATTCTAACCATAATTTTTTTTTGTGTACTATAACTTTTTAATTAGATCATAATAGTAATAGCTTTTTCGTAATATCTATTCTTTATTTCTATAGGCATACGCTTAAAAAACTGCAACATTTCGACACCTAAGAAAAACGACGTCATTGTGTTCCAAATTGAATTATATTTTCTTTAATCATTAAAAAACAAAAATATTTTTATTTATTAATATATTTAGTACATATTGAGATAAATATAGTTTTTTTCTGATTATTTTCTCTAAAAATATGAAATATGAAAACGCAACTCTTTTTAAGTTTTTTACAACGGATAATTTTTTTTTTTAAGAGACAACTCAAGTTTTATTTTATAGTATGTTTAATTAAAAATGGACTTAACTAAAGATATTCTTATTTTATGAGAAATATTCAATCATGTCTAATTGTTTTTTATTTATTTAGAACTTCTTTGATAAAAAATAATTAAAATCATTTGGTCGGGAATAAAAAAGTTTAAAATTAAGTTACGTCTTTTTTCTAGGAGATTGATATAATGATATGCTTAAAAACATCAGTTTTGATATATAGTTTAGAGTTGTTATAGTATATATGTACGTATATAAGTTTAAATTGAACTAATTGTTTAGTTTTCTTTCATTATTACAGTTGAATGAAAATAAGGCTTCATTCTTTAATGCATTTTATGATCTAAAATATTTTGACAATATGAAGTAAATATGTTTATAGTAACGTTTTTAATGTAGGTTATAATATGTTATTATTTTTTCTTTTTTAATATTTATATCAAAATTTTTTTATGGCTTTCAGTAAATGGATAATAATTGAATAATTAATAATTATAAGGAATGACATTTATCTATTTCACAATTTTAGCATAGCAATAAATCGCTTGTAGTAATTTCAAAAACGAGATCTCAATATGAAGGGAAAACTTGGCGGAATTTCGAATTATGAGACAGAAATTGGAATGAAGCCAATACTATAGGTAGTACATAAAGCGTCAAATTCCATTAGACAATAGACAACTGTATTTTGAAAACTACTTAAAAAAGAAAAGTACCCACTTACTGATATTCTGAAAATCATAGTTAATACTATTAAATAGTTTTATTTATTAAGGCTTAATTTTAAATCTAAAAAAGAACATTACTTCAAGAATTTCCAAGATCAAATATTAATTTTTAAAAAGCTCATTAAAACAATAACGATACTTCTATTTTTATAATTTTGTATTTTAATATTAGAGTACGGTTTCTACTCATATTATATTGAAATACAAAATTTAAAGCTAGATATTCAAAAAAATCTTGAATAGTTTATTTTTAAACAATAAATACGTTAGTATTGAAATTACACCTAAAAAAATATATAAATGAAGATACGGGTGTCATAACCAAATAAGTTCATTTAAACATTTTTCGGGAGATACAAAAAAAAAAATATTATTTACATTAAAAAAAAAGTTTTTTGTTGTTATAATTCCATGGGAAATTATGGAACATGGCTATTTCTTTCACCTTAATATAAATTGTTTTTACTGAATAAAACTAAGTTTAAAATTAATTTTTCAAAACGATGAACGTACCAAGTTATCGCATTAATGTTATCAACTGCAATTGTAAAGGAATCCAAATTCAAATTGTATAAGATGGCTGCTAAATATAAAAATATTTATTATCGTTAGACTAATTGTAATTAGACAATCGTTAAAGGATATTCAGTTAAAGTAAATGTTTCATACACGTGATAAATAATTAGTTAGATTAATAGTATTGTCTATAGAAAAGTTTTTGCTGTTATTACTGTTGATTAATTTTATTTACTAGAGGGTTCATAGTAATAATATTAAATATATTTTAAAAAGAAACATTCAGTATGTGGGCACATTCCAAATGAGAGATCTTTAAGGAACATATTTAGGAACGACATTCTTCAATGAATAATTATTTGTAGTAAAGTATTTATAAGATGTAGAGAATTTGCCTACGGGTTGTTTTGCTAAAAAATGGTATTTTGTTAGAACACAACTCAACAAGATATGATTAAAATAATTTATTCGTAATAGTGACAATAACTAACATAGTTTCTCAAAAGATTTCTCGTATAAACTGAAATAAACAGCAATTTATGTTGAATGTTCATAGGGTCACAAGAAAAACAGCCAATTTTGGCAAAAACTTCAAGTTTTTTTATAGAATACTTACCTATCTAAGTGATGCTTTAGGCGAACCAGGGATTGGACATTTCACAATACAAGATATGCTCACAAAATATTTTATTACACTTAATAGGTGTATTTGGATAACAGCAATAATATTATAGGATTTACACAGACACACCCCAGGCTATTGGAGGGTATTTCTATTTACATAATTTGAGTATATCCATCTATTTTTATAAGATATAAGAATAAAGAAACGTCAATCTGAACTAAATACACGTACGACTTAAGTGTATTGCTAAAAGCACATTTACCACATCGAACTTACTAATAAATCTTAGTTCTCAAAGAATAACTTCCTTATTAAATTTTATACTTTTCATACGATGTTGATGAATTTGTGTTTACAGTAAAATTATCTAATAAATAATCATTTTAATCGATATTTTTAAGATAAAACGATAACTTTCAGATGATTAAAATGTACTTTAAAATCGAAAATTCCTTTGGTTGTTCGTGAAATATACTCGTGTTTAAATTTACCTTAAAGATAAAATCTTCAAAGGTTATCGATATAAACAATAACGTCATCCATTTTCCGGTCTTAAATGGACGTATTCGTCGAGTTTAACGATTCAGTAATCGTCGTTTCGTAAATCGTTTAGAAATAGAATCGATTTTAATTTTGGAAGATAGCCTAATGTTTGGCGTAGTAAATTTCATATCAGATAAACCACGAAACGTCAAACGGACTTACCGTCGTATATCACAGGCTTTTGACCAACACAAAACCATCTCCTCTTCTTGTACCTGATAATTCATTACACATACTGATAAAGACATTAAATTATATAAATTACCTCTAAGACTGTCAAAAATTAAATTAAATTATCAACAGATATCATGTTTACGCCACAAAGTTGTAAAGCTGATGACATTGTTGAATTGTTAAATTATTTTAATAAAAGTTGTGTTATTTTTTTTTTTAATAAAATTATTTAGTGCAATTTCTGACAAAAATAACTTACGTAACTTTGATAAGTATTCAAATAATTATGAACCAAAATAGTTAAGGATAAAATTTTATTTTACCTAATCTCAGTTTTTTATTTTTAGATAATAATTAACTTATTTTAAACTATTTAGTTAATAAATCGTAGAATTTATGAGTAATAAGTAGTTAGTGTTTTATTATACTTACTCGTATCAACAAAAACCTATAAAAGTTATAAAGTTACTTTATTTTAAAATTTGCATGGTTATGAATAATCAATATTTTAGAATATTTTTACTTTAATGCCATCATGTTAAACTAAAGCAATACCATAAAACATATTAAATTTTCATTTAACATTATCTTTTAAATTTATGAAGAGTACATAATCAACCCCAAAATCGGAAGTGAGAACGGATGAAGATAGATGCACTTTCAAAGTTTGTCGACAAATCCAAAGGTTTTAATATTGTATGAGTGTTGATCCAGTAGTGAGTAAATAGCCAGATTCAGAGAAAATCTTGTTTAGTTAGTATCTATTTAATGAATATCAAAGTAGATTTTCGTACCTTACTGAGACTCCACCTTTTTAAATTATTTAAAAATTTATTTCCAATTGATTAAGTTTATGAATATTCATTAATATTTAATGGCAATTATTTTAGAATTTTATTTTAAGCAGAATGAATTTCGGTACAAAAATTAGTCATGCTCAAAGCTAGATTTGAAGTCTCGGGTCTCATAAGTAGTTAAGAATATAGGCCTCCTCTTGGGTATTTTATCAATTATAAAACTATTAGTAGCTTATTAGTAATATCACAAAGACGGTTCGCTAAAATCTTGAGCCTTCAGCAAGTTCGCCTAGCCCGAAAACAGCCATGGTTTGTCTATAAATTATTTGTACAATTAAAAAAAAAAAACGACCAACTCATTAAACTTGGTAGTATAATTTCACATTTATATCGCTTTAATACTTTTATGTACACGTTGTAATAAAAAGTTTACAAATTCGAAAATTGAAATTTATAAAGGAAACACATTTTGCTAAAGTGATTTAAATTTAAAAAACAACATGTGCTTGTTAGATTAATAAAGCTTAGGCTTATACGTCTTATATTTAAGCCTAAAATTTAGATTCAATACGCAACTGTGAAAAGCTTTTGGTTTAATCTGTCACATTTTTTTCTTTTTGTATCAGTGTTTATGATTATTTCGCTCCTATTGGACCGATTTTACTCAAAGATACGTCAAAAAATTACAAAACATTTGTGATACTTGGAGATATCAAGTCGATGATTTAAAAAATCTTTTTCAATTCCTGTAATAAAGGGATATTTCGTAAAAACTACAGTTCTTATAAAACATTCAATATTAATACTTTAGTTTTTACATTATATTTTTGAAACTAACGGTTTATTTATAAATTTTTACTAATAATAATTTAGACGTTTGTTATTCCGATTCCACACATTTTTTAAAAATCTAATCATTAACTAAAATAAAGTAAAAATTTTAAGATTGTATAAATTTTTTTCTCTTTTTATTAATGTTTTAAAAGAAAACTATCTAAAATTAAGATTTTTGGGGTAAAAGTTGTGTAGTATTTATATAATAGTGTAATACTTGCTTCAGTCAAAATTACTTTAAATTAAAGATTTGTTATATATAATAAATGTTTTTTAACATAAATTGATTAATAAAAAATTAGTTTACTAGTTCATGCACTGTTTAAAAATATATCGAAATCATCAGTTGTACTTAATAAGTTGCTATGAAAAAAATATTTAAAAAAATACAATATATACATTTTTTATAAGTTTCCAAAACTAAAATTAAAATGTGAGCTTGATATTTTTTCGTTACTTTTAATTTTGAGATTCAAAATTATGAATCTTACATCAATTAAATTCTTTTAAGTAAAAAATATAATAAAATGGCAATTATTAGTGTGGAATATTTTAATATTACTGTGTCTCTAAATAAATGATATACGCACCTTTATAATTGAGTCTCCCAGTTGTAAAAGTTCTTAAATCCAAAAAAAAATTCTTTTTTGTTTTTTTTCTTATTGAATTAGCTTATTAATAGATAAGAAAAGCAAAAATTAAAAAATTATATGCATTGGATATACGTCCTTTGCAAATGGACTCAATGAATTTATACATAAATTTATTTCTTTGGCATTATACTTTAAAAGTTAATGGAATCAATACTGTTTGATTTTTTGTTCAGTTTTAATATTTTTTTTAGTTTAATCATAATTTCTGCATTCAACTTTTTTTACATAATTTAGTTAGAGTAATTATTATAATTTATACAATCCCATTAAAACATTCGAAATTTGTTCTAAAATATTTTAATATCAAACTTTTATTTTGTAGCGAAATAGTTATTTAATTAGAAGTTTTACGTATTTTAAGTAATATTTTTTTTTTCTCACCTAAATTGAATTTTTGTTCAATTAAATATACAAAATTAATTTTCTGCGACAAAACAACATTAAACTTGTTGTTTTATAAAATTGTGTTTCAACTTACAGCACAATTTTATCTCAGTATCGGTTTAATTGTCATCGTTACAAAACAATTCCCTTTAATAGCATAGTTTGCTTCCTTTTTGAACTTAGTATATTTAGTTCAATGACGTACTCGTTATTTTTAATTATCCTTTTATTAATAAAATACACGAATAAATGATTCGTTAAAATAATATATTATGTATCACTTAACAATCGTATTAAATGTTTGTAATGTAGCAATTTCTAAGAATATTTACCTCATGTTGAATATTTTTGAGCTGACTATCCGATATTGTGTTAAGTTTAACTGTCAAGTTAAAAAAAATTTGAACTCAATGATTTGTAAATAAATAAATGTTCATAAAATTATTATTAATTGAATAATTTTGTTGATGTTCTTATATTTATTTAACTTTTATATTTATTTTAGAAACGGTTTTGGATCCTGAATTAGTGCAACCTACATCATCTTCATTACCAAAAATTAAAAATATTTCAAATACGAAGCGAAAAAATTTTACTAAAACTTATACGTTAGTGTCTCCACCAATATTTGATGGCCCTAACATCACGAACGCAACGGCAAGATTAGGAGAAAGTGCGTTTTTACACTGTACAGTAAGAAACCTACAACAAAGACCGGTAAGGAAGTATAGCTACGTCAAATTAATTTAACAAGTGGTTTTGACACTTAACAAACTGTTGTTAAATTAATGTACTAAAATACCCGTGTAAAAGGTAAATCGATCTATGCTGTAGTAACCCAAAAATTAAAAATATAATCAAATTAAATTAAAATTTAGAAATGCAAAGAGTGTATGGATGTTGTTAGAGATGAATTATTGCTGTAATGTTGATATATATTGATGGTATTTTTGATGAGGAATTAAAGTTGCACCTGGAAACAAGACGTTATTTGTCTGTAAGAGGAAATTTGGTGTGAGGGACCCCATTGAATAAAGCAATATTTTTAGAATTTATAAATTAACTGATTTAATGATTATAGAATTGAATGTGTGTGAACGTGTACCGCGAGTGCTGTCGATGTCAATCAATACCTTGTTCCAAGCATTTTCGCCTCGAGTGATGAGGGAGATTATCCCTCACGTTGCTCCAAAGTCTTTCTGTATATATATACATATATATATGTGTGTGTGTATTAAGACAATTTTAGAAAAATTAATTAACGATCTGCGATTTCAAATTTTTTTTTTAATAAAAGAGCTGACAACATAATCAGAGAAAATTATCCACCGTAATTATAATATCAACATTAAAATACTCAGTTTAATTAATAGAACAAAAATATGATAAAATTTGTTAAATTTTGATATTGTCTTAAAAGCAAATTAATATATACCGAAAAAAATTTTCATTGCAGATTTGTCATATTGACAAAATTTCAAGCAAAAAAATTCTTTACATCATTTCTCTATCTTTGTTCAATCATAATTTTAGACTGAAAGGATTTAGATACTGAAACTATCATATTTGATACTAACAATTAAAGTATAATTAGTTTATTGAATTTTCATATAAATATAAAAAAAATTATAATACATAAATATGAAATTATGGATCCAACTATTAACAGTGATTGGAAATAAGACAATGTTGTTGTAAGGTACATATATTGAGATGGGATGTCATTTTTTTTATAATATGTTGACTCAAGACAACATATGTCAATCTTATGATCAATATATTTTTCTATTAATTCTCTTTAAAATTTACTCATTTTTATATTTGAATGTGTTACTATATTTTTGTTAAACTACTTTTGGAATAATATTTTCTCTGCATAACACTTATCCTGTCCAACTTAGTCAGGTACTCCTACCGAAATCAGTGGTCTACCTGTAAGGGCCGCCCGTAGAGTTAGGGGAGGAGCCTAGTTATGAAAAAGTTATTAATTTATTAATTAACAGTACTGTATAAGAATTCAATATCTTATTTAAAACTAATTTATAAAGTTGAAAAGAAGGAAACAATTATTTTACCTTTTGTTAGTTTTTTGTTACATTCGATAGGGCCTTAATAATGTAGCTGACTTATAACGCAGATTATATTTTTACAAAAAAAAGGTAGGCTGAACCAACAAAATAATCACAAGTTTTTTCGTGGAGCAACCGGTGTTGATGATAATGACAATAGTTGGCTTGTGTGTAAGAGGTACGTATCAAATTCTTAAAACAAGAACGAACTAAAGGGGCTTGTTAAGGACTATTTTAATAGCTAAGTATTACCTCTAGTCTTTTGAAAATGATCACTAGTGCATATGCTTATTTAGTACGTGTATGATAAAATAGTGTGAGCAAAGTGTAAAGACATTACGTATTGGCTTGTATAGAATAATGAGTACAATAGACAAAGTTTAACTGATAGTAATTGTGATTCAAAGTTTCATTATTTTCTATTTACAAAAGAATAATTTGTTTGTATACATAAAATAATTATTATAACTATTTGTATATTATAACAACTACTCAAGACTGCTCCTTGCCTACTAAGATTAAAAAAATGCATGAAATATGATAATGCGGCACTCCTGATTATTTTTATTAGTGTAAAAAAATGATTTTTGATGAGTTATAGCGTGTGATTAAATTTACTCACACCTTCCACTAGTGGCTTAATATTTGAAAATTAAGTGGATTGAACAGTTTTTTAGTTTTTTGCTAATATCTCACTAAAAAAAGCTTTCAACGGAACGAAAATAAATATAATTAAATTTATAAATCTAAGCATTTTCATAAAAAATATTCTTGCCAAAATGTTCATAAATTAATTATATTACCTACAGAGCGAAAACAAAAAAGTAATTCAACATATTGTAGCGACCAAAACATACGCAACGAATATTCTCGAATGTTCTCGTTATCAAAAACCTTCGAGAAACTTCGATAACGCCATAAGATAACCTACGCGGGTATAGAATATTCTAGAATTAGCGAGAGCCTTATCGGAGCTATATATATATCGGAAGAATCAGTCAGTTTAGTTAGTTCAGTTCAGACTGTCTAGTCCGCGATACGCTACACGACCGCTACACCCCGCCGCTGTTGTCATCGTGTATTATGTTTACTTCGATTATTTTTATTTTATTTTTCCTTACTGTATATACATATATTTTCTTTTAGTGTTTATACGTCTATTTTAGTGTTATAATTTTGTTTAATAAAAGTCTACCGCCATTTAAATAATTGTGTGTTGTAAGATATAACCCACAATATCAAACAATTCGGAAGATATTCAAGTACATAAGGATAGATTATTTAAACATGTGAAGAATATTTAAAATATTTAGAATTAAATGTAGTTTTTAATAGGCTATTAAGTCTATAAAGGTTTCTTGGTAGCATTTTATCAAAATAATCATATTTATACGCATTGTAAATATTTAGTTCAGTTTTTGATAAAATTTCCTAATGATTTTTTTTTTATTACACATTGTCACGTGGTAAAATTATTGTGAACATTTTTTTCGCAATTAGGACCCTTCAAGTTATTTGATAACGATTGCTGAAATATTTGAACCAATACAGCTAATTTGATAATACGAATAATTTATTATCTGATTATACGCTACTTTTATTTACACGTTTATTTGATGGTATAAGCGATTTGATAACATCATATAGTGTTTATTTTTTACAAAGTTAATTGTTCCATTAATATTTATATATTAATCATAAAAGTTTGTAAACTACTTTTTTTTCTTTTAATAAAGCGAGAAGGTATTTATTTAATTAGTCCAACTAAACAATTTAAATTTTTAGTCGCAAGTTACCATCCTTAGGTAGGTACATTAACATTAATTTTATACACAACATACAGTTGCTGGAGCAATACTGAATATATCATCTGACTCAGATATTGCTTTATTTGAAAAATTAAAAAATACTTCAAACTATATAAATACCAAAATGATTAGCATATAGAATATAAATAAAAATGTTGAAAACATTGTATTTCTTAAGTGTGAAAACATTTTAATACTATTACTTTTTATCTAAAAAAAATAACTTAGAAAAGATTATAAGCAGTTTTAAGAGCTTGTAATTATAATTCAAGGTGAATATCCACTTGGTACTATAATTGTTAGACAACTTGGAGATAGTACCAAGCAAGATGGTTGGCTAAGGGCATTATTTGTTTGAATTATTTTTTTATTCGGCATGAATTTAAACTATCTATGTCAGAATAAAATGCACAGAAAAAAATGTTTGCAGTAATTCTAAAAATGTATGTTGTAAACGTATTTACAGTAGTCAATGGCTGACCAAATGTGCGAAGCTCCTTTAAATGATATGCATTGAAAAAGAAATGTTTATTATGACGATAAAAATGACAATAAAATCATTGCATATTCATGTTAAAAAAAATTTAAAAATAATTTATGATATTTAATTCGGACTTTCTCCATTATTTGACAATATAATTTCATTATAAACTAAAAATAAAATAACGAAACTTATTTAAAAACATTTACTTACTATTTTGTATGATCAAAATAATTTTGGCCAAACAAAAACAATTTTTGAAAGTAGAAAATGTGGAAATTTTCTTAAATTAAGAATTTTTCACAGATTTGTTGGATAAAAATTCTTGATTCTAATTTAAAAAATTTAATATACATGCATAGTTACTGAATTTAAACCCCTTGAGTTGGGTAACGTATTTTACCAGAAAGCAAAAAAAGAATTATTAAATTGATTCATGTTGTTAATGATACAACTGAGAGTGTTGTAAAATTGATGAAAGGGTAAAATCTTAAATTCATAAATAATGATGCATAAAAACGATTTTTATTTCAAGTAAATATAATAAAATGTAGTTTGACAATGAAATTGATGATTACTTACTTCATACTTGACATGTTATAGGTCATTCCAAAGTACCAAAAAGTATATACCCATAATACAAAAAAAAACAATAACAGTAAAATTTTAAATTGAATAAAATATATTTTTTAAAAATGTTCCCAACGATTTAGTTATTAAATAATATTAGTTACACATATTTGTTCAAAATACATTATTTAACTATTTATATTTTACACATTTTTTGTATACTTAAATTTCATAACATATAATTAACTTAGGAGAATTTTTGTAAGACAATTTTGATAAAAAATGCTAAGATTTATAAATTTTGTATTTATATTCTCGTTAATTTTTTGTCGGTAAATTATTAACTAAAAACTTAAAAAAACTATACTGTTCAACCAATTTTTAACCCTGAATCGGCATGTAAAAGGGATCAGTCAACTTCAAAAAACTCAACACAAATCATAATTATACATTAATGAACAAAATTAGGCGACGACGCATAATTTATTTAAAAATTAAAAATTAAGAATCATCCTAATCGACTCTGAATTTTTAGAGAAGCATTTAAAAAAAAATATTTTTAATGTTGATAGTTAGGAGTATTGCGAACCATACAAGATTTTATTTATAATAGATAAATTATGAATAAAATATTAAATATTAATGTTTGAAAACATGCAAGTAAATATTTATTAAGAACGATTATAAAATTTGTAAACTTTTTGTAATAAGGAAAGAAAAAATTAATAAAATTATTAATTAGATTATATGTGTGTAACAATTATATTGTTACCAGATGAGTCTATACTA